CTGCATAAAATAATTTTCCCATCTAAACCAGTTGTCGGGGCACCTTCTAGATATGAGAGAGAGACAAAAAGAGACAGAGAGAACAATTTGTCTCTGACTGTGAGAAGTGGGGTGACCTATTCCTGGAAGCACAACCATCTTTCCATGAGTGGTGATCTCAGGTAAATGTCTGTGCTCATCAGTCATCAATAGCAGAGGCACATTCAGGACAGTTCCACGTGCACATCATTTATTCATTGTTACCCTTTAGAACAGAATAGAAGCCATCATTCTATTGCTCTGCTTTCAGGAGAAAACCCCTCAAATATTGAGTGGTTTATGCCATTTATATGCTTTCCCTCCTTTCAGACCAGAGCAAAACAGGAAAAGGTGGTGGGAGGAAACTGAGCAGAGTTCAATCCTGGCAAAGACCCCTGGCATTTCCTGTCTGACTCCTTCAGTTCTGGGACAGCCACCGGCCCTGGGGCTGTGACTTCTCTTGGGTCCCTGCTGACATTTCTCTATTTACAGTCTTCAGTGGGACTCTTTTCCTCACCTGGGTCTGTACTCCCCTCGAACATCAGGAAGGCTTTCTTGACATGCAGCAGCTTTTGGCAGTGGGTTCCGTAATTTAGTTCAGGTCCTCCTCCTTCTCTGGAACATGGCCCTGGGCAAAGAAGACAAAAAGCCACAAGGAGCAGACAGCACAGGGAAATGGAGTGCAAGAAGAGAGGGAGAGCAGAGCAGGGCAGTGAGCTGTGCCCTGAGCAGGCCTTTCTTCACTCCTGAGCAGTCCCTGTTTCTGCCTTCACCTGTCATTGCTGCTGTGATGGATGCAGTCAGAAGGGACAGGCGGCGTTGTTGGAAGGGTCAGCGAGGCCGTGCTTCCTGCAGCAGCTGTGCAGAAGGGGGTGTTAAGGAAAGTTCCTGATCTGACCATTCCTGAGGCTCTCTGGCCAGCACACTCCCACCACCAGAGATGTTTGGTGCTGGGACCGGAGCCCCTCCACAGCAGTGGCTCCAGTGCCCCAATGGGCCCTGCTGGACTCCCCACACCCCCCACTCCCACGCTCGGCCCCTGTGTCCTCCCTGGTTCAGCCCAGGTTTCCCACAGCAGAGTCTCAGATGTCTGAGTCCATAAAGCCATTTATTCCCAGTACAGCTGGGAACAGCCTGAGCTGTTTCTCCCACAAAGGAATCCCTCAGTTTTATCTCCTCACAGTCTGTGTGCCCGAGGCTCAAGTCTGGCTCTTCGTCCCAAGCCCTCGGCTCCTGCTGGGTCTCTTGGTGTCCCTTCCCCAGCTGTGTCACCACTCTTGGTGCCCTTTGCTGTGCTTTGTTGGCAGTTCATGGCCTCTTGTCTCAGGCTCCCACCTGGAGCTCAACTTGCAGCTGCCCCCAGCCACCTGCACCAGATGTGTTCACAGCCAGGAGGAGGGGAGAGTGGAGTGAGGCTGTTTTGGTTTTGTCTTTCTTTGGTGGTTTTCTACTCTGTTGGGAATTGCTGAGAAAGTAAAGCAATCATCCCCAACTTGAGTCTGGTTTGCCCATGATGGCAACTGGTGAGGGATGTCCCAGACTTTATGTGAGCTCTTCAGTTGTATTTTTTCCTCCTGTCCAGTTGAGAAGGGGAAGTGAGAGAAGTTTGGTGGGCATCTGGCAGCCAGCCAAAGTCACCACTGTCCTTTCTCCATAGATTTCTTCATAGCTGGTCAGGATAACCTCCAGGATTTGAGTCTCAAGGAATTGAAAATGGTCCTTTTCTTCTGTGGAAAATTGTGGCTGGGGTTGAATACCAGGTTCTGCACTCTGCAAAAGCAGAAGGTCTTCATTTTGACCAAGGAAGATGATGTGTGTGTCTGTGAGAATTCTCAGAGCTCCAGGGCAGACAAGATTTTAATATTTCTTTTAAAAAAAGACTGGATATGGCACTTGTTGCCATTGTATGGTTGTGGTGTTAGGGCATGGGTTGGACTTGATGTTCCTGAAGGTCTTTTCCAACCTAGTAATTCTGTTAAATTCTGTTGAAGATGGCTTAGGGACCAGCTGGAAGTACAACAGAACATCTTACCAACTGCATTATCTTCTCTAGTCCTCGCCCACCACTGAGATTTTGTCCCTCTTTTCCTTTGCATTGCAGAGTTAATCTTGAAAAAAGGACACAGGTAACAAGAAACAAGGACATGGCTAATTTTTTTGCTAAGAGTTATATTATTTATTTTTAGAGAAGGATGGAAGGGAAAAGAGGTAATTCAAAAAACCTTGAGGAGATCAGAGGTTTGAGTAGTACAAGGGACATACATGTCCCAAAGAAGCTCTTTAATGAATTCTGGAAATCGTTAGGGAAATATTGTAGTGAAGTTTCCGCTTTTTCATTTTTCTTTTTCTTTTCAGGTGAACCAGCGGCTAGAAGAAATGAGTTGGTCAAGGTTAGCCAGTTCCTTAAGTAAGTGTGGACTCATGTATCCCGTTCATCTTGTCTGTGTCCATCCTTGGGAGCCCTTGGGATGTGATGTGTTATCCCTGAGAGAAGAGAGGCCAGTGGAGGTCTCTCCCCTGAGCACACTGCCTGCAGAACCCCTTCCAGAGCACAGCGGAAGGCCTGGCCTTTGGGGTGGGATCAATTTGGTCAGAGGAGTGATCTTTGATAGGAGACACATCCTGCTCTAGCAGGGGGTATTGCTGAGCAAGGCTTTGAGGGTCAGGCTGAAATGAATGTGCCAAGGGACAGAACAGGGACCTGGAAGGTCCCTCTCCACTCCTGGAGTGTGAGGCAGAAGAGTCTCACCCTCTCGTGGTGGCTGTGCTCTGGTGGGCCTGAGGCACCTGTGTGGTGCCTGGGTACTGTGGAACCTGAGGCAGCTTCCTGGCCCAGGAGAGCCTCAGTGGGCCCCGAGGGTCAGAAACCCCCCAGCACTGCTGTGGGGCTCCTGGTCCACAGGAACTCATGGCTCCTGGGCCGGCTGCAGGATGTGTTCTGCCTCTGAACCTGCTCAGTGCAGTCCTGGAGTTTCTTAGGGAAAGGCCATGGTTAAAGATCCTCTTTTTCTTCTTGATTTTCTTTTCATATGTACCTGATGTCCAGTACCGGCGGCCGTTGGCTATGGGGCTCAGAAAGGCACAGCAATGGTGATCAACAAATTAAGTAAGTGTGCTGTGTCATGGTTTTAAAGCAGTAACTAAAAAAATTACTTATTTCTTGCTGTGAGATATGGATTAGAACAAGAGCAAAACAGGCTTAAAACTTAAAAGGAATAAAGAAAGTTTATTAACAAAACTACAAGAATAAAAACACCAGAATAAACTTCCAGAATAGTTTTTTATCCCCTACTACTTGACCATTCTTTTGTACACGTGACAACATAGAGACAGAAAAACTTCAGAACTTCAGTGTTTAAAACAGTCTCAATTCTTGCTACAGTCTTTTCATCAGTCTTTGTAGAGAAACAGGAGTCTCCTTCTGCTAATCTATAGAGTTTTTCACAAGAAAACTATTTCTGTTATAGCTTCCTATTTCCCTGATGCCCTCTGCCTGGAAATCCTGCCATCACTTCACTCCTCCCATTTCACATCACTCTGAGGTGTGTATGGGTCAGTGAGTCTAGGGATGTCATTTTTAAGGATGAGTTATTCAAAGGCAAAAGTTCTCTTCATCTGTCTCTGTGAGCTTCTTTGGAAACAGTTTTCTCATTGCCCCCAAGGCTTCAAATCTTCACTCAACTCTGTTCTAGCAACTCACTGTATCACAATTACTCTCTCTTTTGCTTAAAATCCACACTTTGAACACTCTGTTCTCCTGATATACTCTGTCATGAATTAAAGGAGTCTTTTCAAACCACTTTTGTCCATCTCCATAGCTTTAACAGAAAGATATTTTCAGCTTATAAAGCATCTCCTTATTCTCTCCCTATCTAAAACTTAACTCTTTTATCACTGTTTTTGGTGGTTTTATGATGTCTTCTTTATGTTGATTGTCTCTTTCTTTCTCTGTCTCTCTGGGAAAAAGGAGTAGTCTGTATACTTTATCCAGGTAGTAAAAGAATTAAAGTCTTAGAAAAGCTGCAGATGTTCATGGTGTCAGGTTTCAGTCCAGCAGCAGAAACTGAAAACTAAGCCGAGCTGGCCGGCTCTGCTTCCCCCCTGCCCCTGCGGCCTTGTCTGGCCTGGACGGGGCGGGGAGGCCAAGACAGAGCCTCGTTACCCTGTCAGAGGCCAGAAACACAAAGAGAACAAGAGAGCTCTGACCTTAGATCTTAAGGGGGTGTTTACAAGTTGAACTCACTTTTCAATGGTTAAAACTGCTGTCAATTCTTAGAAATTACCGATAATTGGTCAGGAGGAAAGACTCCCATCAGCCACCAGCAGCTTCAACTTCCTTAGCTCCCAAAACCACCTTAAAGGTAAAGCCACCCCACGACAGCTGGATGCCATTCCTCTTGTCTGTGTCCATCTTTGGGAGCCCTTGGGATGTGATGTGTTACCCCTGAGAGAAGAGAGGCCAGTGGAGGTCTCTCCCCTGAGCACACTGCCTGCAGAACCCCTTCCAGAGCACAGCGGAAGGCCTGGCCTTTGGGGTGGGATCAGTTTGGTCAGAGGAGTGATCTTTGATAGGAGACACGTCCTGCTCTAGCAGGGGGTATTGCTGAGCAAGGCTTTGAGGGTCAGGCTGAAATGAATGTGCCAAGGGACAGAACAGGGACCTGGAAGGTCCCTCTCCACTCCTGGAGTGTGAGGCAGAAGAGTCTCACCCTCTCGTGGTGGCTGTGCTCTGGTGGGCCTGAGGCACCTGTGTGGTGCCTGGGTACTGTGGAACCTGAGGCAGCTTCCTGGCCCAGGAGAGCCTCAGTGGGCCCCGAGGGTCAGAAACCCCCCAGCACTGCTGTGGGGCTCCTGGTCCACAGGAACTCATGGCTCCTGGGCCGGCTGCGGGATGTGTTCTGCCTCTGAACCTGCTCAGTGCAGTCCTGGAGTTTCTTAGGGAAAGGCCCTGGTTAAAGATCCTCTTTTTTTTCTTGATTTTCTTTTCATATGTACCTGATGTCCAGTACCAGCGGCTGTTGGCTATGGGGCTCAGAAAGGCACAGCAATGGTGATCAACAAACCAAGTAAGTGTGCTGGATGCCATTCCTCTTGTCTGTGTCCATCCTTGGGAGCCCTTGGGATGTGATTTGTTACCCCTGAAAGAAGAGAGGCCAGTGGAGGTCTCTCCCCTGAGCACACTGCCTGCAGAACCCCATCCAGAGCAGAAGGCCTGGCCTTTGGGGTGGGATCAGCTTGGTCATAGGGGTGACCTTCTTTGATCAGAGACACATCCTACTCTAGCAGGGGGTGTTGCTGAGCAACTGGTAATGATTTCAAAGGTGTAGCACATCCCTTCTGGGATTTCCTTTCCTTTCTCTGAACACTAAAGGAGGAATCTCACCCTGGGCTTAGCTACAGGGACAAAAGGCAGAAGCCTTTCTGTACAGGTGAGTGCCAGTCCTTGCCTCCACTACCTGAAAACGGAGCCCTGCCAAGCAGGAAGGAGATCCAGAGGTCTGTCGAGCATGAGGGTCCAGTGCAGTCAGATCAAACAATCCCATCTCTTTGGAAATTCCCATTCCCTAAGGCCTCCAGCCAGTCCTTTGTTATACTGCTCATCCCCATGAGGATGCCCAGGACCCCAGGCTCCCAGGGTGCAGAGATGTCCCAGCAATGGGCTTTTCCCAGCACAGACCAGGACAGCCTGGAAGAGAGGAAACCAAAAACCAAACTGTAGGAAGAGCCAACGAGAGACCCTCAAGAAGAGACTATAAAACAGGATTTGATCATCCTCAGGCAGGATGGGTGGTCTCCCCTTCAAAAGAGCAATGTCAGTTCCCCACTGACACCAATCTTTTTCTACAGGAGAGACAAAGAAGGAGAAAACTGGAAAACTCCTGGAATGTAAGATAGATGAAGCCTTCCCAGGAGCTCAAGGGTAAAATGAAAGCCTTGCAGGAATATTTCCAAAAATTACAGGAGTGCAGACAGAAGGAGCATCAGCTTCTCAGAGCAGACCTGGAGATGAACCAAGGTGAGCAGGGCCATTGCCAAGCAGACACTCATCCATCTGAAGGCAGAAGCTGCTCTACAGGCCAACCACTCTGTGAGCTCATCCTGCTCATTTCCTCAGAGGGGACATGGAGGGACAATTCTCCCATGGGGAACAGCTTCTGTGATCCATGGCACTGAAAGACCTCCATGCTGAAGTGTTCTCTGCAGGTGCAGGTGGTCAAAGTCCCCCTTCTGTCCCTCATCTTTGCAGAGGGTGGGTGCTGGCAGTTCTCTCATTGCTGAGGTTCCCCCCTTGAGGTTCCCCCCTTGAAGTGATGTCCCCATCTCTCTCCCTTTCCCCACTGCCCTTCTCCTGCTGCCCCAGTGCTGGTCCTGTGCTGGGGCACATGTGAGATCAGCCTTGTTTCCCTGTTGATGATGAGCAGGGAGAGGAGCTTTCCTGAGCAGAGCCTGGACGTGTCTGTGAGTGCAGGGCCTGTGCAGAGCAGCTCTGCCTGCAAGAGCTGGTGCTGGGAAGGGGAAGGAGTCAGCTGGGGCAGACTCCAGTGTGGGCCTGGCTGGCCCCAGACTGTGCCCCAGGGCCTGGCTCAGGCAGTGTGTGTTGGGAACAGCCTCCTGCCCCCAGGGCCGGGAAAGCTGAGGAACAACCGGCCTTCCCTGACCATGGGTCCTGTTCTTGCTCCAGCTGCAGCCAGCAAAGCCATGGCAAGGAGCAGCCCAGAGGAGTCCAGGGAAACCCCTGGAATTCCTGCTGGCTCAGGCCATTGTGGGCTTAGAAATAAGCCAGTGGCCCACTTTTCAAAGCTGGAGCCTTGTTTATTGAGCTACAGAAAGCACAAATGAGAGGATGAGAGGTTGAAGAGGTATGAAATTTTTTCTGATTTTCTTGGGCCCTCTCTGCTGGAAGTTTGAGGGTAAAGGGAAAACCATTTCCAGATTGTGCCTTCATGGCCAAACAGAATTTCTATGAATTCTGTCTGTCAACGAGGTTAAATCAGAGCCTTTGAGCATCCTTGTCAGATAGCTGGTCTCCTGCTCAAGGAAGAAACATTACTGACATTTTTCTTTCTTCACAGGAAAGGAGGGGAACTTTGCAAGGGTCCTGTTATCTAGGAAGGATAAAGAAATCCATATACACTCCCAAAGAATTCAGACTCTGCAAAAAGATGTACAAGAATGGCCAGGGACCACAAAGTCTGAGCTTGAATTTCTCAGAGCATACCTGGAGAAGAACCAAGGTGAGCAGGGCCATTGCCAAGCAGACACTCATCCATCTGAAGGCAGAAGCTGCTCTACAGGCCAACCACTCTGTGAGCTCATCCTGCTCATTTCCTCAGAGGGGACATGGAGGGACAATCCTCCCATGGGGAACAGCTTCTGTGATCCATGGCACTGAAAGACCTCCATGCTGAAGTGTTCTCTGCAGGTGCAGGTGGTCAAAGTCCCTCTTCTGTCCCTCATCTTTGCAGAGGGTGGGTGCTGGCAGTTCTCTCATTGCCTGATACTCGCTGAGGTTCCCCCCTTGAAGTGATGTCCCCATCTCTCTCCCTTTCCCCACTGCCCTTCTCCTGCTGCCCCAGTGCTGGTCCTGTGCTGGGGCACATGTGAGATCAGCCTTGTTTCCCCGTTGATGATGAGCAGGGAGAGGAGCTTTCCTGAGCAGAGCCTGGATGTGTCTGTGAGCACAGAGACCCTCTGTCAGGGACATTAAACCAGAGCCTTTGGGTATCCTTGTGTCAGATAGCTTGTCTCCCCCTCAAGGAGGAATCATTAGTGACCCAATGGCATTGTTCTTTCTTTACAGGAAAGGAAGAGGAGGAAATTTCAAGGGCCCTGGTATCCAGCATGACTTTGAAATTCCAGCAGCTCTTTCAAAGAATTGAAAGTTTGGAAGAGGATTTACAGGAATTGCTGAAGTCATCACAGCATGAGTTTCAGCTTCTCAGAGCAGGGCAGAAGTAACAAGGTGAGCAGGGGCATTGCCAAGCAGGCTTTCACCTCTCTGAAGGCAAAAGCTGCTCTACAGGCCAACCACCCTGTGAGCTCATCCTGCTCAGCTCCTCAAAGGGGATGGGGAGGGACAGTCCTTACCTGGATAGAGGCCCAAAGAAGCTGACTTTAGTCATGGGATGCACCACCACCATCCATCCTGTGAGTAAAGTCAGCTTTTCTGAGCCCCTCATCTTTTGTGATCCCTGGCATGGAAACTCCTCTGTGCTGAAGTGTTCTCTGCAGGTTCTCTTGAACTCTGCAAGGCCCCTCTTGGCTCTCTTGTCTTTGAAGAGTGTGTGTAGGTATGACCTGACATGTGGTAAAGGTGTCCAAATCCTCCTGCCCACTCACCTTCCCCATGACAGAGTGTTGTCTGCCACAGCCCGCAGACGCTGTCAGGGGAGATGGAGAGAGATGATCCCTGCTCTCCATCCTGTCCCCCAGCTCTTTGCCAAGCCCTCAGGAATACCCACAGGGCCTGTGCCCTTTCCTCAGCCCTCCTGCAGTCCATCCATCCAAACCAGCTGAAAGAACCTGATGAGGAATAAGCCAGGTCACCCATCCAGGCTCAGGGCTGACCTTCTGGAAAGGGGCTCTGCAGAGAAGGACCTGGGGGTTCTGCTGGACAAAAAGCTGTCCAAGAGTCAGCAATGTGTCCTTGTGGCCAAGGCACCCAATGGCTGCCTGGGCTGCCTTAGGAAGGGCTTTGCCAAGCTCCAAGGGAGGGGCAGCCCTGCTGGGGCACATCTGGAGCTCTGTGTCCCATGCTGGGTTCCTCAGCACAAGAGAAACCTGGAGCTCTTGGGATGGGCCCAACTGAGGAACTACAAAGCTGATCAGAGCCTGGAGCATCTCTCTGGTGAGGAGAGGCTGAGGGAGCTGGGCCTGTTTGGTGTGGAGAAGAAAAGGCTAAGAGGGGATCTCATCAATGGACAGAAGTGTTTGAAGGGTGGGTGTCAGGAGGATGGAGCTGGGCTCTTCTGGGTGGTGCTGAGTCATGGGGTGAGAGGCAATGGGCAGAAACAGAAACAAAGGAATTTCCACCTAAACACAAGCAAGACCTCCATTACTGTGAGGGTGACTCAGCAGTGGGACCAGTTCTGAGACAGATTGTGGAGACTCCTTCTTCGGAGAAATTCAAAAGGCAACCAGACATAAATCTGACTAATGGTCTCTGGGAGACCCTGTTTGAGTGGGAGCTTGGACTAGAAGACCTCAAGTGGTCCCTTCCAGCCTTACCCATTTGGTGGTTTGTGAGGGTAGGAGGAGCTTCTTATTCCTCTCTCTCTCCTCTTCTCTCTCATGACCAGACCTAAGGGAACAGCTGCAGCTGTGCCAGGGTAGGACTGGATATCAGGAAAAGAACAGAGAATCCCCCAGAGGGTGCTGAGGCACTGAACAAGCTCCCCAGGGTTTGGTCATGGCCCCAAGGCTGCCAAAGCTCCAGAAGAGTTTGGACAACACCCCCAGGCACAGGATGGGATTATTGGGGTGTCTTGGGTAGAGCCAGGAGCTGGAATCAGTGATCCCTGTGTGTCCCTTGCAGCTCAGAATATTCCATGATTCTGTGATTCTTTCCTGAGCCCATGTGCCCTTGAACCTTGGGAGGTGGACACTTCAGGGAGAGAAGACAATAGGATTGGGAGAGCCCCGGAGGAAGAGCTTAAGGGAATCTTGGGCAAGGCCTTGTCCCTGTCCTCTGGCTCAGGAGTGCTCAGTCTGTCCTGGTGTGGCTTCTCTCCACCCCAGCTTGCCATGAACAGTGTCCCTTTCCCTGGACAAAGCAGCTCAGGACCTTGATCATTCATGCTCCACTGTGCTTCGGGCTTGGGTCCTCTTGGGCAGGGAAAGGAGATCAGAGACTTCTTGGTCTTTTTGAAGTGTAAAGGCCCAGTGTCATTTCTGGTTCAAGGTGTACCCTCAGGACAGACAAGGTCACTGTCCCAGTGATGCTGGTCCTTCCTCTCAGGAAGCACAGTGGAGCCTGCCAAGTGTCCCCATGGGCAACTGCTGCAGAAAAGTGGCCTTTCTTCCCTGGGAGCTCCTTCTCTGTGGAAGCCCATGTCCTTTTTAGTCCATGGTCTGGCTATTCTCCTGGCCTCTCTTTCCTGTGTGAAATGAAGGAGAGGCTGAGCTCATCTCTCAGCAGCTTTTAGTCCTCCTTGCACCTCAGAGAAGTTTGAGCCAGGAGCCCCATGTCTGGGAAACAAAATTATCACACACCCTGATTTGCTGTTTCCTTTTGGAGCCATGAGAACAGAATTAAATAAGAGAAGAGAGTGAAGAGCAGGGGAGTGTGAGGGTGGTCTCAGAGCAGATAGTTGGTGAACTCTGTTTTGATCCCCCTCCAGTGTGTATTAGGGGACACATCCTGAGAAGAATGAAAACCTGGAAATTACTATGGACAATGAACAGATTTTAAGGCACCCTGCAAATATTGCAATGGGGAATTAGGAAAATTCAGGAAACAGTCAAGGAGTAGCTGGGCTGTGGTGGGGAAGGTGCATCCCTACAGCAGATGGGACCAGTGAAGAGCCCTGCAGCTACAGCCCCTCCCATTGAATGGCAAACCAGAGCGGTCTCCTGCAGGGAAATTCATCTCCCTTGTTCCCTATCCCTTCTCCCCTGCCACCAGCATGGCATCTTTCTCCTTGAGAATGCCTGCCTAGATTTCAGGTCTGGTTGGAGTTCCTGCTGGTGAACCCCCAAGCATCCCAGTGCCTCAGGCTCTGCTCCCTTTGGAGGATGGCCCAGGGCTCCTGGGTGTTTCCCCACTTTGAGAAGCAGTGTTTCACTCCAGGAGAAAATCATCATTTTGGGCAGAGGCTTGGGCAGTGTCTGAGCACATGAGGGCCCAGCAAGTCTTGGAAAATCCATTCATTGTCTGCTTTTCTCTTTTACCCAGAGAGATTTTAGAAATATAACTCTACAGAGGCAAGCACAGGCAGGATGGTGGAGACGACACTTCACAGCCTGAGTGCAGCTCTGGAAAACACATTCCACCCCGTCAGAGAGCTGTTCTGAGAAGAACATGCTCAGGAAAGGGTGATTTGATGACTTTTGCATTGCCATGTGCTGCCCAAGACCCTGCCTGTACTTGTCAGGAGCCCTCACAGCTCCGGGCAGCAGGGGCAGCCAGCTCACACTGCCTCTGCAGCCTCAGCTCTGACTCCTGTTTTGGCCTCTTGGGCCTCTCAGGAAAAGTGTCTGGAGCTCATCTTGCTCCAGGTGATCCCAGCAGCTGGTTCTTCTTTCAGCGAAACTAGAGGCCTTTAGCTGATGCCATTTGTCAGGAAGATCCACAAACACCAGAGGTTTATGTCCAGAAAGGAGACAGAGGAGTCCTTCCACTTTATTCGAATAAAGGGAGAGTCTGTGGGGCACAGACCCACAGGGTTTTCTCTCTTGAGGTTTTGGAGGATGTAGCCTCCCTTTTACCCCAAACTCCTGGCCTCATGTTGCCCTCTTCCTTTCCCCACTGGCTGAGGTACTTGGAAGGCACAGCCTTCCAGACCCACCTACCCCTTATTCCCCCTTGAACCTACTGTTTTAACCCAAAGTTCAGAAGTTCAGGCCTGTGCAGAGCCTTGTCTGTGTCAGGAGCCAGGCTGAGCTCTCTAACAGACTGGCTGCCCAAAATCAAGACCTATTTCAAGGGCATTATCACCCATACCCTCGCCCATCAAATTTTCTGTAAAGGCTTTAGCACACATCTTTCCTATCACATTGCACCTTGCTCAAGTCCTGCCAGGGGTTCATCCCATCCCGTGATGAGAGTGGAAATGTGAGGCAAGAAACGTTCCCTTAGCCTTGTGGCAGTGTGTATCACTCTTCCTCTCTAATCCATGTGGAAGCATTATCCTAGCCTGGTGCAGTCCTGTTACTGAGGAGGAGCTGCTTAAAGCTTGGAAATCACCTTCAGACTTTGCAAGGAGTTGGTCCTGGCAGCTGCTGTGGTTTAACCCACTCCTGCAGCCAAGCCCCACACTTGGGGCCACTCACTGACTCCCCCATCAGCAGGATTAGGGGAGAATTGAGAGGGTGAAAGTGAGAAGAAAACTCGTGGGTTGAGGTAAAGACAATTTAGTAGGGAAAGCAAAAGTCGAGCACACAAGCAAAGTGTGGCGAAGCAACACACCCATTCGCATGGGCTGGCAGGTGCTCAGCACCTCCAGGAGAGCAGGGCCCCATCCCATGGAACGGTGACTTGGGAAGGCAAACACTCCAAATGTCCCCTACTTTCCCTACAGAGCATAATGTCATAGTCTGGGACATTACTTGGGTCAGCTGGGGTCATCTGTCCTGGCTGTGTCCCCTCCCAACCTCCCATGGACCCCCCAGCCCCAATGTGACAGAGTGAAAAGGCCTTGGCTCCGTGTGGCCACTGCTCAGCAATAACAAAAACATCTCCATTATCATCCCTGTGTTCACCACAGATCCCAAAGACAGCCCCACACCAGATACTGGGAAGAAAATTAATCCAGACCAAACCAGCCCACAGGACACAAGCATTCCTGGAGCTGCTTCCTCCAAGGGATAGAGGAGACAGTGAGGAGTGTGCCAACCACAGGGCCTTGCTGTTCTGCTGACCAAGGTGCCTGTACAGGGAGCATCAGAACCAGCTGCCCTTGGCTGCAGCACAACGAGCCTGGCTTTTTCATGAGCAACATTTTGCTCCCCTGGGTCCCCCCACTACCCACTTGGGCCTCCCAGGTGAGGGCAGGGGATTGGTGATTGAGAAGGAGGGAAAGTTGTGTCTCCCTGTGCAGTGGCTCAGTGCACCAAGAGGAGACACGGGTTTGCTGTACATCTTGCACAGCCTGGAGCTGCAGGTCATGCCCACGTGTGTCACAGGTGGAACAGGAGAGTCCAGGGCCTCAGGACCACCCTGTGGGGGTTGCAGTGGGAGAAGAGGGTGAGATTTGGTGCAGCCTGTGCACATCCTTGGGATGAAATGGACACAGTTCAGAGCCTGGTTGCGAGTTACTGCACAGCACAGATGAACAGAGAGCAAAGACAGGGTGAGAAACAGTGTGCAGTGTTGTAGTAATTGACATCACAACCTGAAAGCACTGTGGGAGCGAGCTTTCACTAGAAATGGCCTTGACTTCCATCCCTTCAGCTCCAGAGAGGTCCCATCTGATCCTGATCTTCTTTGGTGGTTTTGGAGTATGTCCTCACATGTTGCTGTATTGCACCTCCTACATCTCAGCTTGTTCTAATACTTGATAACCCCTCTTTTAAAATGCTACCAAAAAAATTTCTACCCATTTACTGGGACTTTCTTGTGTCACAGCTTATGCCTATTGCCTTTTGTCCCGTCAAGGTCCATCTCCAAGAGGATGTCAATGGAGAAAGAGATGTAGCAAGGCCATTGAGCCCCAAACTGGTCCCCAAGTCTTACAGAAATTGTTACCTTAGCATGTGGTGGAGTCTCCATCCCTGGAGATACTCAAAACCTACTGGATGAGGTTCTGGCCAGCCACCTTCAAGTGTCCCTGCTTGAGCAGGGGGGCTGGACCAGATGATCTCTGGAGATCCCTTCCAACCTCAGTTCATCTCTGTTATTGTGTGCAGGGCATGAGACACCTGAAAAGGTTCAGAATCTATGAAGACAAATGGAGCTTTATCTGTACCCAGTTCCTGTGTATGTTTAATTTTCACTTCCTCTTGACTGTTCAATCTTTTGCAGGCATGGTTGTAGGAAGGTGCATAAGAAGACGAGTGGTGCAATACAAACACACAGACAACTTCTGCATGGATGAAATCTTGATCACTGAGCAAAATGGCAGTCTGGAATCAATTCACGAGTTTTTGGAGAAATCATTATAATGTGTTGTCTCTATCGCTTTATTTCATACTTCTGGTTGTGGTTGAAGAAATAATGGAGCTGGAATGGAAAGGTCCTCAGAAAAGTCATTCAAGAAGTTGTATGTTGCTTCCTACTTTTTCCGTCCAGCCTTCATTACATTTTTCCTGAGCTTGACCTCCCAGCCTGCCTGCATTTCCAGGGCTCACTGTGTGGGGAAATGCTCATGCTGCAGGAAGAGTGAGATAATTTTTAGGGCATTCACCTCCTGTGATTTGGTTTCTAATCCTCCTGTGTCATGGCAGATACATCGACCGTGTGGTACCAACAAAAGATGGAAACAGCAGCCAAAGGCCACCCAAAGCAGAGCAGCTGCAAGACCCAGCAAGTTCTACACCAAATCTCAGGGAAGAGTCCTGGAAATCTTGGACTTCGAGTATTCTAGCACTCCATGTATACAAAGAATCTGGGATGTACTGCAGTATGGGAACCATTTCATCTGGAGAATGAAGTGTTCAGTTGCAGTTATGATTTTTATGTTGCATGTTTACTACATTCACATTACCCATCTTCTTTTCTGCTTCTGTTTTTTAATAAATGTATATCAAATACAAGTTTATATTTAGCATGTTCCTTCTGAGGCTGAAATATGAACTGAATGTCTTGATCCCGGGTAACTGGAAACTTACACATGTGTTTTGTGTCTGGTTCTTAAAGCAAGATTTCTGAATATAAGAAATTAGATAATGCACTGAGGAGAGAGAGAGTCTGCTATTCCTTCTTCCAGTGAGTCTATGTCTTGCCATCAGTTCCATCTAACCATGGCAGGATGTCATGAAGTTACTTTACCTTTAAGGAAAGTTGGAGTTGCTGGGAACTGCCTGGAGTCTTTTCTCCTGACCAATTATCAGTCATTGCTGAGAACTGACAGCAGTTTAGGCCATTGAAAAGTGGGATCAACTTGTGAACCCTACCTTAAGATGTAAAGTCAGGGCACTTTAGTTCTCTTTGTTTTCTGGCTGTGGAGGGTGGCGGAGCTCCAGGCCTCCCGTTCCCTGCCCAGGCCATGCGGCCGGGCGGGGATGGGGCCGGGCCGAGCCGATCTCTGGCTTGGCTGCAGGTTTTGCTGTAACTACATTCACTAGAAACTGCCGAGTAAAGAAAGAAAGAGGCTCTGAACCTGCAGCAAGCAGAGACAGCCACACTCTCCAGAGCAGCTATGAGGAACCTTCCATCACAGACAGCTCCAGCTCCTGTTCGGCAGAGATCACTGAACCATCTACAAAAGCCTGGGCAAGATTTTAACTCTTTCATTACCCAGATGAGACTTGCGGATTAATCTTTTTATCCAGAGAGAGAAAAAGAGAGTAATCAACATGAAAAGAGACTTTATAAACTACCAGTGACAGGAAAGAAAAGAAGCTTCAGGAAAGGTAGAGAATTAAGAAGATGCTTTAATTAAGCTGAAATATCTTTCTGTTAAAACTATGGAGATGGACAATGAAGTCCTGAAAAGAACTCCTTTAATTCATGATACAGTATCTAGGGAGGAATAAAGTGTTCAAAGTGTAAATCTGAGTAAAAAGTAGAGTAATTACGGTATAGTGAAGTGCTGGGAGATTTGAAGCCTTGAGAGGCAATGAGAAAACTGTTTTCTAGTGAAGCTCACAGAAACAGATGAAGAAGGCTTTTTGTGCCTTTGAATAACTTATCCTTAAAAAGGCTATCCCTAGGCTCATGGCCCATACACACTTCAGAGAGATGTGAAAATGGGATGAGCGGGCTCTAATAATAGCAGCTCTGGGCAGCTAGCATTAGGGCAATGGAAAACTGCAACAAAAATAGTTTTCTTGTGAGAAACTCCATAAATTAACAGGAAGAAACTTCTGTTTCTCTACAAAGACTGGTGAAAAGACTGTAGCAAGAATTGGGACTGTTTTAACCACCAAAGTTCCAAAGTTTTTGTCTCTGTTGTCATGGGAACAACAAGGGAATAGTGGGTAGATAGGGGATGAAAAGGTTTTTCTAGAAGTTTATTCTGGTGTTATTATTATTGTAGTTTGTCAATAAACTTTCTTTTTTTTCCCTTTTAAGTTGTATGCCTGTTTTGCTCTTGTTCTAATCCATATCTCACAGCAAGAAATAAGTAATTTTCTTAGTTATTGGTTTAAAACCACGACAGGCCCAAAGCAGTAAGGATCCACTGTGAATGCAGGGCCCAAAGCCAACAAGGTGAGGTTGAACAAGACCAAGTGCCGGCTCCTGCACTTTGGCCACAACAAGGCCTGCAGTGCTCCAGGCTGGGGCCAGAGTGGCTGGACAGCGGCCAGGCAGAAAGGGAGCTGGGGCACTGATGGACAGCAGGCTGGACATGAGGCAGCAGTGTGCCCAGGTGGCCAAGAAGGCCAATGGCCCCTGGCCTGGATCAGGAATGGTGTGGCCAGCAGGAGCAGGGCAGGGATTCTTCCCCTGTGCTGGGCACTGCTGAGGCCACACCTCGAGTGCTCTGTCCAGTGCTGGGCCCCCAATTGAGGAAGGCCATGGAGGGGCTGGAGCGTGTCCAGAGAAGGGCAACAAGGCTGCTGAGGGTTCTGGAGAACAAGTCCTGTCAGGAGTGGCTGAGTGTGGTGGGTTTTAGCTCTAGCTAAAATCACCAGAGTACTTCCTTCTTTCTTGCTGTGAGATATGGATTAGGAGAAGGGCAAAACAGGCTTAAAATTTAAAAGTAATAAAGAAACTTAATGAACAAGACTACAAGAAGAAAAAACAAGAATAAAATCTCCAGAAACCTTTCCACCCTCTACCCAACTTTTCCTTTCCCAAGTGACACGGCGGAGACAAAACCTGGGATGTTAAAGCAGTGCCAACTATACAATAGTCTTTTCATCAGTCTGTGCAGGGAGAGGAGTTTTCTCTTGTCATGCCATGGAGAGTTCTCCACAAGAAACA